TTGATCATCTGTGTTACAGTTGCACATATTCTGCTAGATAAGAAAAGTAGGTAAAGTCAGTTAATTCACCATTACACACAAAATTACAATGTTGTTTTTTAAAAAGATTCTAAAAGTACTTGTCGTTTGATTTTTACGATGTTGTGTGCATAGTTGTGGTATATATGTCGTATGCATATTATAGGGTTGGGGACATTGCACCTTATTTATTTATTTATTTATTTTACCAAAATTGTTATTTGGTGTGTGTGTGAATTCATGTTATTTGCTTCTTTAAAAAAATGTCCTTTGATTTTTACGGAGGTGTGTGCAATGGTGTAGTATGGCGTGTGTGTGAATTAAAGGGACGGGAACTTTGCATTATGTCGCGTGTTTTTTTTTTTTAATTGTGTTTAGATGTGTGCATGACTACCTATTGTATTTAGCTGTTTTGTTTAAAACAAATAGAATGTAAAAGCATTTGCTCTTTGCGTTACTTCATTTAGTTGTTTGTTTTTTTTAAAGAAATAGAATTTTACATTGGTGTGTGCGTTGATATGGTATGATGTGTGCGAATTATAGGGTCTTGGACTATCCATAATTTCGTGATTTTTTTTTGTTTTTTGTTTTTGTTTGTCACACACGCTATTGCACACCAATGCACACAATACTCAGTAATTTGGGCATACCATCTCGCACCAATGCACACTACACCGTTAGTAATTACTTAGGCAATAAAAAAATTGCATTCAAAGCAACGCACATGCCAAGTGTTGTTACATTCTTTAATAGGGAAAAAAACATTATGCCAAGTCTATTATGTCATGAATGCACACACATGGTCATTACATTCGTATACCCGACTTACTCACAATTAAAAATAATACACACAACATGATGCGAAGAGTCCCACCCAATTATTTGCACAAGCCGTAACACACCAATGCACACACCTCGTTACCTTTTAATAAGCAACAAAAAAACGGATACATGAAGTAACGCACACGCCAAGTGATTCGCACACGCTATTGCACAATAATGCACACGTCAAATCAAATGAAGTCTGCTCCATTCCAACTAATAATGTCAGTAAACCATGATACAAGGTATCCATTGCACTAAATCATAAGAGAGACAATATGTTGACAATTTAACTTATGAATTCTGTTTTATATGTCGGGTGTCCACTGATAGCTAAAGCTCAAGATGACAAGTCTTAGCATAAAACTTAAATAGTGTGACAGATAGAAAAAGGGGAAGCTCAGAACATATGTAAAGCCTGAGCTCAAGTTATTAACTTCATTTTACAATAACAAGCTTCACATCACAGCATTAGAATAGAACACAAGAGAAATGCCTCTTAAGTACACACTATCTCAACCTCACAAAAGAAAACTTTGGTTTATGTATTTTTTGGAAAACTTTGCTAAATTGTATACAACATGAAGTTAAGACTCTATTTAAAACCATGATCACGAAATTCTGATCATTTGCATTTGCTTTTATCCCAGGCAACTTCTAGATTACCAAACAACCAAACAAAGAAGATTTCTAGAAGAAGAAGAATAGTACTGAATCCCAGGTCAATTGAGAACTAAAAACAACAGTCTTTTCACCATAATCCACAGAGAAAACAAAAACATCCCATATTCTTTGATCGTAGAAGCTCAGAAAAAAAAAATGAAAGTAGAAAAAGAATACCAAAAACCCCCCAACTTGCTACAAACTACCCCCTCTAAAATATTGCACATACAATCGCCATAGTCTTTGGTTTTACCTGTCCTCTTGTATCGCACAACCTGTGATGATATTGCACATACAATCGCCAATAATTATGAGATTTCAACATATAACCACATATTTAGACATTATAAAGCTAGATTTTTTTTAACCTTTTTGTAAGTGGGAAGCAGGATATAAAAGTGGTACAGTAGGTTTTTTTGAATGCTACTAGCTCTATTACAATGTAGTATCTGTACCAAGACTATGTGGTCTAATGGTACCCGGGTTGGACTTCCATTTGGAAGGTTGTAAGTTCGAGCCTCAATGGAGGCGTTATTGGTTCTTTGTGTTTCAGTGTGTTGAGAACACAATAAATAAATAAACAAGCAAATCAAAATGCCAATAATTATGAAACCCAAACGGCAGTCACCACTAGATGTGTCAATGCGGGCTTTCTATTTGGAGGGCTTTTGCAGTCCGGCCTGCGAATCCTGCGGGCTTGGAACTACACAACCCAAGCCTGCATGGGGCGGGCTTGCGGGCTGGCCCGCGAGCCATCAGTTCCATTTTAAAAAAGAATAGTAAATAGTATATAAACATGTTAAAACCGCTTGAAATTTCCATAAAATCCATCAACCTCGCCCAAATCTCACCGATCGAAACCGCGCGTTAAGCAGAACTGCAGAAGGGTGATCAAAGCTAGGGTTTAACGGCACACTCTATTTCTCTTTCGGCTTCATGTTTTCCCTCTACAGCCCCCGTTTGTGCATAATACATATATAAATATTTATGTTTGCTGGAGTTGGAGGCGATTTAGTAATTCATAAATATGTATGAATTGATGATTTAGTTTTGGTAATTCGTAATTGTTTGCTGGAGTTGGAGGCGAGACGGAGACTGGAGAACCAGAGAACTGCGTACTCTAGATGGGTTAGATCTACACACTGCCTAAGAATTAAAAATTGGCGAAGGATTATTGAATTAATTGGATTTCTCCCCTTCTACGCACTCTTAGATGGGTCAGATCTACACACTGCCTAAGAATGAAGATATTATATATTATAATTTTTATTTTTTTTTAAATATGGCATGGCCCGCGGGTTGACCCGCAACTCGTGCGGATTTGCACGCGCGGGCTTTGGCCCTCCGCGGGCCAAGCCCGTTAGGCCCGCATTTTCACGGGCCTAATTTCCTACGGCTCTAACCCGCCCCACTGCGGGGCGGGTGCGGGCTAACCCGCGGGCTTCGGCCCACTTTGACACCCCTAGTCACCACCCACCTACTGCTACCAACGAACCCCCTTAAAAAAAATAAATAAATAAACAAGCAAATGAAAATGCGTAAGCATCATGGTTGACACAATTACACTATAAAATTATATATGGGATGAAGATCCAGCCAATAATTATGAAACCCAAACGGCAGTCACCACCTACTGCTACCAACGAACCCCCTTAAAAAAAAATAGTAAAATAAAAAAACCCACAGAACTACTTTAAAAAAAAAAAAAAAAAGAAGAAGAACCGCGCCGCACTCGCAGACTACCGCCGTAGACACGCCAACACACGAACCCCATATAACCGAAGCAAAAAAACAACGGAAATCGGAATACCTGGACAATCATCGGACACATGCCTCTTTTGACGCTTTGATCGACAGATTGAAGAGCCAGCCATGAATCTCCGAGACGATACGACGGGAACTGAAACGACTGAAAACGAACGAAAACGACGGAGATGGGCGAGACAGCGACGGAGATGGGCGAGACAGCGGTGGCGATCAGAAACGTAGAGGCAGCGACAAGCCGACAAAGATAGGAGAAAAGACCATTACGTGAAAAAGTAAATCTTCAGAATGACAGAATCCCAACGAAACCGTATGCATAAAGGATACTACCGATAAAATAAGTGTATTCAAAATAGGTAATGAATTAATTCCTAAGAGAAATTACTACAAAGCCCACATCCCAATTAAAACTCAGCGCATCACACTTCATAAATAATTCAAATCTGATCCGATGAAATTAAAGAATAGATGAACAGGATCGAATCTCACGATCTCACCTAATTGGGGTGGTCTCACTGGATCCAAAATCTATATATATATATATATATATATATATATATATATATATATATATATATATATATAAAAGTATATTTGGTTCCTGTGAGGTCAGGTCTTCCCGTGCGGTCAGTGCGGCATACACCATTAGGTATGCATAAATGCACCATACAGTGTTCGAAAATACACCAGAATGAAATGTCAAAAAATACACCACACATAATGGTGTATTTACGAACACTGTGTGGTGCATTTATGCATATCTAATGGTGTATGCCGCACTGACCGCACGGGAAGACCTAACCTCACAGGAACCTGACCCTATATATATATATATATATATATATATATATATATATATATATATATATATATATATATATATATATATATATATAAAGTATGTACCTTGCGGCGTCGATCGGTTGGAGACCGGCAGCGAGCTTGCGACGTGGACGTTGGGGACGACGTGGATCGGTAGTGGCGGCGGCGAGACTGGAGACCGGGGGCGGAGGCGACACGGCTGGAGACCGGCAACAATGGAGGAGTGCGACGGAGGGGAATAGAGTGGGGACAACGAGCGACAGTGACAGCTATGGGGACGACGACTGGCTGGGGGTGTTTTTGTTCAGAAAACCCTAATAATATGCGTCCAAAGTTTCCAAACTTCGAACGCATATCATATTTCGTGTCACCTATATGCGTCCGAAGTGCAAGAACTTCGGACGCATATAATTGTTCTAAATACGCAGCGCCACAATGTGCGTCCGAGGTTCCTAAACTTTGGACGCACATTGTTTTATATTTTAAAAAAATAAAAAATTAATTATATAGTGACATTTTAATTACAAAAATACCACCACATCCCACATTACGCGTCCAATGTTTAAACTTTGGATGCATATTCTTTGATTTTTTTGATCATTTTTGTACTAGTGTAAGTCATTGCCTACAAGCAAACAACTCTGTGACTTTACCAATTATTCAAACTTTTTATAATTGTGAAAGCAACATCACAGTCAAATTTGAAATTTTATTAAGTAAAAAAAAAAAAAAAAAAACTAACAAACAAACTACAAGCATAATCGTAATAGTATAACATTAGAAATTAAAATATTGTAAAAGAACAAGAAACTGATAAAAGGGAATCCAAGATAGCATGTATCAAGAAAACAAACACAACTCACATTATTCATGATACATAAAAAGTGAAAAGTTCATTACTTTGAAAAACTTCAGTGCCTTCGACCATTCCTTTTTGGCCTTGAAACTTTTCTGTGCCGGTTGCCTCCATAGAAATTCACAAACCATTCTGGCTTTCCAATTCGAGACATGATATTCTCAATTAAGATTCCAAATACCATTCCGCAACCAAACCCAATCACTACAACTCTCCAAGTAAATCCACTTAAAAAATATGACTTTTCTTCTTGCTCAACATGTTGGTGGGTCTCATGTGGCCTACTATTGTCGTTGCAACCCCTTGACAATGGAAATCCACATAAGTTGAGGTTCCCTCCATATGAGTCATTTCCAAAAGTGTTGAATTGCTTCCCTGTAGGAATGGGTCCAACCAAATGGTTTTGTGACAAGTTTAAGACCTCAAGAAATGTTAAACTTGTGATTTGCTCCGGGATCCTTCCTATCAGTTGGTTCCAAGAGATATCTAAAGATTCAAGCAATTTAATATCTCCTAATTGGTGTGGAATGCTTCCATTGAAGCAGTTGTGTGATATGTTAAGAAGTCGTAGTGAATTCAAATTTCCAATGGACATTGGAATTTGTCCTTCAATTTGATTGCTTGATAAATCAATTGTAGTGAGAATGGTAAGGACTTTTTCAAGTTGAACCTCATTACCTTTCACCACTAAATTGATTGAAATGTTATAAAGTTTCCCTTCCCCGAAATCTTGGTCCATATAACTAGCTTCTTTTTTACTTTGATTTACATTGACCATAGCTTTGAAGTCATTGAACAATTTTTTTGGGAGGACACCAGAAAAACTATTACATGAGAGATCAAAGATTCGTACATTTGAAAATCGGATCTCGGAATCTAATGAGGTTATTGGTCCATAGAGTTTATTTGAACTCAGTATTAGAACCTCTAACTCTTGAAGATAGCCAAGCCAATTAGGAAATGTGTCAATAAGCTTATTATTCGCCAAATCAAGGACCTCTAGTTTTGTGCAACTGACCAAAGATCTTGGAATCGGTCCTTCAAGTTGATTCCCATTCAAAGCTATGGTTGTGAAGCTGCAGCCCTTTGGAAAACTTGTTGGAACAATCCCATTGAAGTTGTTCATTCCCAAATCCAACACAGAAAGTTGATCAAACTCACCCAAGCATTGTGGAATTAAGCCATTGAACTTGTTATATTTTAAGTTCAAAAGTTGAAGTGAACTTAAATTGCAGATAGTGATAGTTAAAGGTCCCTGGAGTTGGTTGGAGTGAAGATCAAGATAAAGTATATTTGGGATGAACAATTGGTTAATACCACCTATAAGACGATTTTGAGAAAAATCCAAATATTGGATCAAACTCCAATCCATAGATGTAAACCAATTTGGAATTTGTCCTTCTAACTGATTGTTGGATAGATCTATCAGTGTTAGGGATGCCGTTAAGTTTCTTATGAAGGTGGGGAACACCCTAATCTCGCAAGAGGATAACCATAACTCTTGTATTTGAAAATCACTTAAATTTGCTATGATCTTCCAATCATTGTTCCATGAAAAAGGATTAAAAGAAAGATCAAGCTTATAAATTCTTAGAAAGCTAGGAGGGATTTGACCATATAGTTGATTATCTGACAAAACAACACTAATTAATGATTCACTCGAAATCCCAGGAAGCTGCCCCGTAAATTGATTTTGGCTGAGATCCAAATAGGCTAAAGATGGAATGCTAAAAATCCAAGATGGTATTGTTCCATTGAGTGCATTCCCATACAAGGACAATGTCTCGAGATTTTTGAGTCTGCTCGCATTTAATGATTCAGTCAAAATTCCAGGATGCTGCCCTATAAATTGATTTTGGCTGAGATCCAACTTGCGTAAAGATGGAATGCTAAAAATCCAAGATGGTATTGTTCCATTAAGTGCATTCCCAGACAAGGACAATGTCCGGAGATTTTTGAGTCTGGTCGCATTTAATGATTCACTCAAAATTCCAAGAAGCTGCCCTGTAAATTGATTTTGGCTGAGATCCAAATCGTCTAAAGATGGAATGCTAAAAATCCAAGGCGGTATTGTGCCAAAGAGTGCATTCCCAGACAAGGACAATATCTGGAGATTATGAAGTCGGCTCGCACTCAAAATTTGAGGAAGTTGGCCTGTGAATTGATTTTGGCTGAGATCCAACATTATTAAAGAGGGAATACTCAAAATCCAGGGTGGTATTGTGCCAAAGAGTGCATTCCCAGACAAGGATAAAAATGGGAGATTTTGAAGTCCGGTTCCAACAGATGGGAGAGAGCCAATTAGTGAATAATCTTCTAAAACTAAACCTTCAAGTCGAGTTAGGTTTAGAACAGAAATTGGGAAAAGGCCAGTGAATGTGTTTCGTTCGAGATCTAAAGTGGTAATCTCTTGGAGGCTAGAAAAAACATCTGGAATTCCTCCTTCAAAGTAGTTGCTTGAAAGGTCTAATGTGGTTAGTTGGTTCAATTTTGAAATTGTGAATGGCACACTACCATTGAAATCATTACACCCTAAATCCAATACTTTCAAATGTGTGAGGTTGCCAATTGATTCTGGAATAGAACCAAAAAAACTACCAAGAGGTTCCACACCTGAGTAAATACAAGTATCACGAGAGAGTGAGAAGTAGTTCAGGTACCTGAGATTGCCGATTGCATTTGGTAGCTCTCCAGTCATACTCGTATCACTAAGATCCAAGCATTGTAGGGTATGATTGCAACTCCAACTAAACTTGGGTAATGAACCAAATAGGTGGGTATTCTCATGTAGAATAAGTGATTGTAATTCAGATAACTGAAAAATAGTGTCGGGAATGGAGCCAGATATATCATTTAATGAAAGATCTAGATATTTCAATGAAGTAGATATATTCCTTGGTATGCTACAATAGAGACCATTTCCAGACAAAGAAAGTAGCTCAAGCTGGGTGAGGTTATGAAGAAATAATATACTTGAATCATTGGCTTGAAGATTATAATTAAAAGAAAGATCAAGAGAAATTAACTTGGACAAATATGAAATCTCAAATGGAATGATTCCGTATAATGATGAAGTTGAAATATTGAGATGAGTCAAGCTAGTCAGACTACCAATCTCATTCGGGAGAGGGCTTAAATAGAAGTCATTAAAGGCCAAATTGAGATTTTGAAGGTGATGAAGGTGAAAAATGGTGCTATTGGGGTGGATGGGTCCATGAAGCCCCCAAGAATTGAGGTCCAAACCAATGACATGACCAGTGGAAGTATCACAAGTAACACCTTCCCATTTGCAACAATCTGATGAGCTCTCATTCCATCCTAATTTCTTATGCCCCTCAAATTGTTTTATGAATTGCAGTAGCAGAAGAGAATCAGCTTGATCACAGTAGTAGTGGTGAGAAGAAGAAGAAGAAGAAGAAGAAGAAGAAGAGAGGACACCAATACTTAAAAACAAGGCCAAATACAGCAAAGGAAAGAGGGCATGGCTTCCTTTCATTTTGTTTTGGGTATGTATGTAGAATTGAAATTGTTTTGTAATGAACAATGATAGAGTGATTGCGTCTATTTATAATTACGTATGTACCTTAGTCCCAATGCATCTATTCTTTTAAGATTGTATTACATGCAAAGATCAGAATTGAAGAATGAAGACACCACTTAATTTGCATTCACTACTTGACTTCAATTGCAAGTTGTTTTGAACTTTTTAGTCTCTGCCTTAACCATTTAATACTCATTGTGACATTAATCATCAATTAACTCTAGCACAAAAATGAAATTAACTCAAATAATAATTAATTAATCAGATGTCCATTTTATAAAACAAATAAGATACTAGATTCCTTGTGTTGGGAAGATAATATTTGCATGGAATAAGGGTTAAATAGGCCATCAAACTATACATGAAAATGCAATTAGGTCACTAAACTCAAAAAACATGCGATTGAATCCCTGAACAACGCAAAATGATGCAATTGAACCCAACAGTGACCTGCTTACCTGAAGTGGAGGTTATTTTATTAAAATAATAATTTTTTATTTTATTAAATAATTGTAAATAACAAAATAAAAAAAATGTAAAAAAAAAAATGCCTCGTCTCCAGGCCGCCGGAGATGAAGATGCGTCTCCGTCTCCGGCAGCCTGGAGACGAAGATGCGTCTCCGTCTCCGGCAGCCTGGAGACGTTCCATGCCGGTCTTCTCCAGTATGGAGACGAAGGATCTCATCCTTCGTCTCCACGCCGGAGACGAAGGGCTTCATTCATCTCCAGGTCGGAGATGAAGGGACGTCTTCATCTCCAGGGTACTGGAGATTCCGGCGGCTTGGAGACGAGGCGTTTTTTTTTTTTTTAATTATTATTTATAATTATTTAATAAAATAAAAAAAATTATTATTTTAATAAAATAACCTCCACTCCAGGTAAGCAGGTCAATTTTGGATTCAATTGCACCATTTTGCGTTGTTCAGGGACCTAATTGCATGTTTTTTGAGTTCAGTGGCCTAATTGCATTTTCGTGTGTAGTTGGATGACTAATTTGACCCTTATTCCTATTTGCATTGACTTGACTTCAGTTGTTAACCCGATCAGCTATAAGTTATCAATTAACAATTAATTGCAAAACACCTCACTTTGAATAGCCCACCATAATATTTGTGTAGACCATGAATGCAACATATATTTTTAATATATTAAAAGTATATTATTTGTGTACTGAATATATATTATTTGATGATAATATATAAAAATCATTAATGTACTTTTACGTATACAGATAATGCACTTTTAATATATTAAAAATGTACTTTTTATTTATGGTTCACACAAATGTGTGGACCATAGTCCATGAAATAATGATTGACAAGTTTGAGGTGAGAACCTATGGATAAATCCAAACCATCGGTCTACAAGATCTGATGAATAGAAAATCAAATAAAAAAAAAGGGGGTCATTTTCATAAATATTAAAAACTTTTTAAATTTGTAATATTTATTAAGATGACCCAATCTTTTTTCTTTAACTGTTAGATCTACTAGATCAATGGTTTGAATTTGTCGACATATTTTCACCTGTTATGATTCTCAGGAAAGCCGGACACTATATATATATATATATATATATATATATATATATATATATATATATATATATAAAATGCGTCCATCTCTTATTTGCTTGACTTAGAGTTAATTAATTGTCATGACTTTTCAAACAATGTACGTTTGTGGATTTCGAAATTAAATTAGAATTTGTTTTAACTTTTACAGACAAGTTGTTTTATGATTTAATTTCTATGAAAAACATTTTGGCCCGTTTGATAAATGGTTGTTAGCTATAAGTTGATTGGGTTAATTAGAAGGTATAATCATGTGATCGATAACATTAGCTGATTGTAGAAAGATGTTTGGTAAATGGTTGTTAGCTGTTAGTTGATTGAGTTAATTAGAGGGTATAATCAGGTGATCGATAACATTAGCTGATTGTAGAAAGATGTTTGGTAAATGGTTGTTAGCTGTTAGTTGATTGGGTTAATTAGAGGGTATAACTAGTTGATAGCATTAGCTGATTGTAGAAATATGTTTGATAAATTAACTGTTAGCTGATAGTTTTTTGTTATAATTTCTTTTCTCAAAAAGCTAATTGAAAAAGTTGCATTGAGCAGCTTTTTAAATTTTAGAATTTCGGAGTTACAAAAAGCTAATTAACCAAACACTTATATTGATTTTTTAATCAAAGACAAACAACTAATAATGGTCAAATATGTCAAAACTGGCCTATAAGCTAACTATTTTACCAAATAGGGCCTTTAACTCTCTTGCCCAAAATAGGCGTTTACAGGTATGTCTAAATTAAACTAGACCTTTTATACCATTATTTTTTTTTTTTGGTGGAAAGAAGGGACCCAAGGGTCCCGGTATTAGTAGATCCGTCTAACCGCACCGTAACCAGCATCCTTTTGAAGAAGTTGCTCGATGCCCTCTGGCGGGTTAACCAAACTAGTAGTTCCCCAGTTACTTAGATGACCCAGGTTGGCCAAGAAGTCAGCACACTGATTGCCCTCACGAAGGATGTGTCTAAAGTCTTGGACCTGGAGTTGAGCCATAATAGCCTTGCAGTCTACAATGAGGGTGTTCGCCTCTGGCCGTGGTTCTCCACACCCCTCTATAGCTTTAACCATGGCCTCGGAGTCGCACTCAATTATTAGCCTGTGAAAACCTTTTTCCCTTGCCATGAGAAGACCTTCGCGAAGGCCCCATAACTCCGCTACAAAACTAGATGCAATACCAATTTTTGTAGTGAAACCGATTATCCCTCCCGCGCTGGCCATTCCGGAGGAGCTTCTTCTTGAACCGTCAGTATTTAGCTTGAAGTGGCCATGAGCAGGCGGCAACCATTGAACCCAGATTTGTTTCCCTAGCAGCGGCCCTGCATGGTTAACTATCAACCTCCTTGCATCTTCAAACTCTCTCATTGCTCTGTAGGCAACTCCATCCGCTTCCGTATCGCGATTCTGGAAGACCAGTTCGTTTCTTATTTTCCAGATATTCCAAAGCATGTAAGGGAAGCGCATGGACCAGTCTCCTTTGTCGCTGCAGCAGTTTTCTTTGATCCAACTGTTAATGGGGGAGAACGTCATGTAGTTGAAAGATCTCGGTGGGTGTGAAGCGTTCCAACATCTCTGGACAAACTCGCATCGCCGGAAAAGATGATCAAGAGATTCACCAGGATCGTCACACCTCGGGCAGCCTCCATCTGTCGTCAAGCAACGCCTCACCCTTTCTGTATTGATCAGCAAGCCATTTCTGGTAATCTTCCATAGGAAGATTTTAACCTTTTCCGCACACTTGACACGCCAGATCCAATCATAGTCATCATCATTCTTGAGGTTTCCTGCAATGAAATCAAACGCATAACTAACGGAGAAGAGACCTGTACCTGAGTATGGCCAAGAGGGCGAGTCCTCATGAGCTGTTTCTTGGGCAATCGGGATCCCTCTAATCGCATTCAGTGTATCCCTTGATACGGTTCCCTCCAAGCATGAAAGATCCCAGATTTTGGCTTGGTTGATCAGGTGGTTAACTTGGAGGTGTTCCATCGCCGTTGGTATATTGGTGCCCGGGAGGTCTTTGATAGGCATCTCCCCCACCCACCAATCATGCCAAACGTTGATCTTCTGGCCTGAACCTACCTTCCATTTGGCTCCCGAAGCAAGGATATTTTTACCTTTCAAGATACTTTTCCAACCCCAGGAGTCCGTAGGTTTTTGCAGGATGCTCATGAAGTCTCTATTCTTGACATATTTCTCACGCATGGCCTGTACCCATAATTTGTCGGGACACATAAGGATTTGCCATGCTAGCTTTGTTAAGAAAGCCAGGTTCAAGTCTCGGGATTGCCTCAGTCCAAGCCCTCCACTAGCTTTTGGTTTACAAATGTCATTCCAACTTATGGTATGTATTTTACGGTTGTCTTCCATATGCCCCCATAAGAAGTTCCTTCAAATTTTATCAATGTTGTTACAGGTACTTACCGGGAGTGCCATTGCCTACATGACATAGGACGGGACCATTCCCAGCGAAGATTGGACGAGGGTTCTCCTTCCAGCCATACTCAGGGAATTGGCTTTCCACGAACTCAATTTTGATCTCATCTTGTTAAGAACTGAGCCAAACTGATCTTTGGAGACACGTTTTTGTAGAATAGGGATCCCTAGGTAGGAGTTCAAGTTGGTTGTGACATTGATGCCCAAGGCAGCCGCAATATTTTGCCTCGAACCTATACCTGTGTTAGGAGAGCAAAAAATTTGTGACTTAGCAGACCCCCACCCGACTGTATCCGAACATGGAAAATTCGAAGGATTTCCCTCTTAATTCGAACGGATTGGGGTAGTTTTCCCCAATCCGAAATCCGAGCGGATGAACGGTTCTCTAAACCGATCCGCCCGAACTCGTCCGATGCACAGCCCTAACTGCCACCTAAAAATCTAAGACCAAAAAATGGAATTAGCTTATTATTTAATTTATGGGGAGTTTGGTTAGGAGAATTACAATTCCATTCCCACCTAATTCCAACATAATTCCGAAGGCAAACAAATTCCTTCATTGGTTGGAGGAATTTGCAATTCTACGAAATTGAAATTCCCTCATTTTCGTGGAATTAGAATCCCATCCCCCATTGATATTTTAATTCCATGAATTTTAGGAAGAAAAAAATTAACTTTGAGACAAAATTACCCCTTTTTAAACCTAAAATTGATGTTTGCCCTCTCTTTTTCAATTATAATGTGTCTTCTTCTTCTATTCTTAACACAGAACGTCAACTAGTAAGTCAACCTCAATCAAATATGTTTTCTCAAAACTCTCTTATCTATTTTATTGTTTTCATTATGCATTTTTAAGATTTATTTATAGCATGTTACATAAATTTTCAAAAGAAAATTTTAATTTGGTCATTTAGGATTGATAATAATTTTGGACTTTATACTACTTATTTCGTTT